TGCTGCCGCCGAGGAGTGGAGGACGGCGGGTGGTGTGCTGCGCTGGGAGAAAGCACGCTGAGAGAGAGAGAGCAAGGGTAGGGTTAGGGTTTTTGGGTTGAGAAATTATGGCTCTGATACCATGAAGAATTATGAATTTCTTTAAACAATAATGTGGGAGTACATGTGTTTATATACACAAACTATTCCTAATCCTAATCATGGTAGGATTCTACAATAGGAAACAATCTCTATACAATAAATACAGAATATATAATTAACATAAATATAGAATATATTTAACACATCCTTTAATTTTCATATCTTAGGAAATAGTACAACCATAACTCTTTGGGAAATTTCAGCGCTCATGCTATGTACCTTGTGATCTAAAATGTTATAGAACTCTGATTGAGTTTTGTCTATGAACTCTTGATTATTGAGAATCTCTTTTTGCAAATCAAATGCATTTTATAAACTTGGGAAAATATGTTTTTTTCAGTTGTTGAAATATTAAAGTTCAAGCTCTTAAGCAAAAGATTCCACAAGGTAGTGATGTGTATAAAGAAAACCTGAGTTCGAAGAGCAAACCGCGTTTAGGGCCGTACAAATCTTGTCCAAAACTAGTTTTTAATCTAATAGAACCGATGCTATTGAGCCAAAAAACCAGTAAATGGTTAGGAAAAAAGAAAAAAAAAGAGAAAAATAAAGAACTGAGTAAAAATGTTGTTTGAGCACTCGAGTTGATACCCTCGAAATACTTCGTTATTTAGGTCCTGGGCTATCTAGAATGGGTCTGGGGTAGCCCGATTGAGACTCGCTACACGGGTCAACTCAAACAACTTAAGGTTTAATATTAAATTAAAGCAATAATTGAAATTTTCCAGATTTTACGAAAGAAAATAAATTTTCTTTAGCTTTTCTTTACTTGATCGTGTCTTAGGAGTTCTAATTACTTTTTGCTGCTTTATTTACTTCTTTTAAATTGTTCTCAATAATCATAGTTAGTTCAAAGTTTTTACATCAAATAAAAATAGTTTCTACTTAGCTTTGAAGTGAAATAATTATTTTGAGGTTTGAGGTAGCAAGCTGATTTTTAAGGTATTTACTCTGTTTGGTACAATCTTAATCTCTAGTTAATGTTTTAAGCAACACCTTAGATTGTTTGGAGACAAGAAAATGTTGTGAGTTCTGATTTTAACACAAAAAAGAAAAAAAAGGGAATGATTGTGAGAATCTTATTTGCACGAGGGCGTGAAAAAGGCTAAGGTATTTGATAAGTCTTCAAATGTCATATTTTATTCGCCCATATTAGCCCGTTTTAGTATATTCCATATGCATTTTATACACATTTAATCACTATTATGTTTATATACCAATTTAGGCCATTATTTATAATTTAATCATAAAATGCATTCTTTTGAGTATTCTTTTACTTCACTATTTTTATTATCTCATTTACCTTGATGTAGGTCTTAAAAATCATTTTGCAAAGCAGGGCTCGGGAATCCCGGGGACGGTCGAGAACTTGACCCATTGGACCACTACGAAGTCCCAAAAATAGCAGCCCAATTCAGCGGATAGACAACTCCTTAGATTAGTCCAAACGAAGCCAAAGAGAAGAAAAAAACTACGCCATTCTCCAATTACCAGCGGCGGAACAACAGAGTATAGGATTTGGACTCAGATTTGGAGTCCTAACCTGAGAAGAACTCAATCGCAGCCTACTTCTAGTTTAATCGCACAAGTACGACGCAAGAAGAGGCAGGGCACATCAAAAGAAGGTATATGGTACAATCGGATGTATGGTAAATCCGGGTAGTACTCATTTTTAGGTAGAGTAGGATACATTCTCGCACAAGTATAACTAGCCTGATACTCGTTCTAAAATAATTTTGTACTCATTTTCACACATTGGTTTAATATAATAATAATATTTACCAACAAATAATGTAATATTTATCCTGAAACAAAATAGTATTGATTCTCAAATAACTTAGTATTCATTCTCATGTAAAATAAAATTCATATCATAAATAATTTTTTGATGTAATACCATAGTATTCATTCCATTCATTCTCAAACCTGATGTGTAATACGGAGTATAATATGTAATTTGGTGCACATCAAAGACCCCTTCTTCGATCCTACTGATGATAAAAAACAACAACGTAGAAGTCTTGGATTGGGAATCGAGAGTCCTAATCCTAGAAGAAAAGGAGACGGCAGACGAAGAACACACGAGTGCAGCGGCGTCAAACCAGAGAGGGTACGACCCTGTGGGGTCTGGACTCCGGTCCAGATCCCCCATCTTCTTTTTCCATATGTTGTCCTTTATCTTCCATGTTGCAGTAGAGTTAATTGTTTGAATTGAAGAGTTTGCCTTCTCAACTGGCAGTACTATAGTTGAAAAAACAATCTATTGCTTGTCCGTTTTCTTTATGAGCTTTATGCGTTGATACAGTCCTAGGAAGCTACTCAGGAACGGAGAAGGAGAGCTTCGAAAGATCTGTAAAATACACAGAAGAACCGAGAGAGATAGATGGAGAACGACGAGAGATAGAGATTTGGAGAAGTTGTTATTCATTTCTTGATTGATACATTTTTTAGAGATAGAGTGGGTATTTATAAGAGCTACCCCAACTAATAACCCTAACAAACCCAACTAACCTCCATTTACACTGTATCATACTACCCTCCTTAGGACAACCTTGTCCTCAAGGTTGAAAAACTAAAACTGGTTTCCGAATCCTCACCACTTCCTTGCAACATCTTGTACCCTTTGACATGGAAACCTGGATGGAGTAGTCAGCATTGGTCCTTTAAAGGCTTTCAATAGAGACATTGTGAACCTCTGCACCCTCTCGCAGCAATAGTTTGTAAGCCACATGGCCACTCCTCACTTGAATATGGAAGGGACCCTGCTGCAAAATCTTATCAATGCCATGAGAATCAACCAATTGCTTCGCTCTGTTTTGGACCTCCTTTAAAGTGGTAAAAGGGTGCATTGAACTGATGAGCTGAACACATGTGCATACCCAACCTACTTCCCATGGAATCAACCCTTGTGTTCTAGCTCAACCAGTGGTTGAAGCCTAGTTGCAGCAGTTAATCCAAGTAACCAAGAGGGTAACTGTGGATGACTTGCCTCCTTGATGAGTTTTGGGAGTTCATTGCCCATGGTTTTCAAATGGGTCTCAGGGCATCTGTTAACAACCTCAGTTTGTCTATCCAATGAGTTAAGCCACCCTTCTATAACATCCATAAAGACATTCTTCCTTAATACCCCTTTACATTTTCTCTTCCTTTGTGATTGTCCTGCCCAAGGAACTAACCACTGTCTTCTGGTAGTATTTCCCTCCTTATTATTCTTATTTGGTCCAAAATCTGAAGAGGTCTAGAACAGTTGACACTTGCAGATTTCCTGGGAATGAGCTTCATCACTTTGCAAGTGTTTGTAAGGTATGAGAGTTACCAGATGGCTTCCTTCTTTCAGTGAAATTCCAGGATCACAAGTACTTCTATTAGGTGGGAGACCAGCCGGGGTTTGCAAAACCTGGACCCTGACATACTCATTTAATAGTTTGAAGAGTAAAGGTAATGCCTCTTTACTTCCATTCTGCAGCACTCCTTTGATATTTTTACAGACTGAGGTACCTTGTATGTTGTATCCAGTTGTCACTGTTATTCTCAAGGCCCTGCTGAATTTAGGGTAAAAACCTAGCTTGGACCTATGTGTAGAGTTTGACTATGACCGCAACGGTTCAATCAGATTTTAATTCGAAAAAAGTTGGACCTAAAAGTGTAATCCGACTAGGACCAAAAATTAGTCCTAATCAAGGAACTAAACACCAAACCACACTACTGTGCAAACAACGCACTAGCCGATTCAGAGATTCACGACAATTTCACCAAATGTCTTCCTCCTCCGCTTCCCATTATATAAGGAATTCAATCTTTCTCATTTTATCACCAAAACATTCCTTATTTCCTTCTATTCTGCTGCTTTGAGTCAAGAGAACACACTGGTGCTGTCAATTTAGTGAGAGGTCGCCGGAGTTGAGAGTTATCATCGCCAGAAGTGTGTCCGTTCAATCACCAGAATAATCATTTAGCTTCGAGGTAAGCCCGTAGATATATCTAGTGACTAAAATGTTCGTATAGATCGTTTCTCCGCTCATAAACTGTTGTTTGGTTAAGTTTTGTGTTTAACATGCTTAAAGAACCAAGAATCATAAACCTTGAAATTGTTGTTAAAACAACGAATTTATGGTACTAAAATGATCTATGAACATTGGAGAACATTTTTATATAGTTTAATTGAAGTTTGGTGACTAAAAAAGACATTTCCGAAAATTGGCCCGAGGTTGAAGATGACACTATTCAAAACTACGTGCAGAACGTTAGCCAGCTACCATTTGGACGGTACCTTGGTACCGCTGGGACGGTAGGCCATACTATCAGAATAGTAGGCAAGCTATCGCCTCCATCGCGGAAATTAATTCTCTCTAGGGGTACCTGATACCACCCCGTACCATTTGGGTGGTACCGAGGTACCGTACCGCGGTACTGAGGTACCGTTAAGGGTACCGTCTGACCTGAGAAAATTTTAGGAACTTAATTTTTGAATTATCAAATCCAATTTTTGATATCAATCAATTATAACTCATTAAAATATGATTTTTGGAAATAAATATGGTGTTTTGATAAATTCAAGAAAAGTTGTTTGATGCGTGACAGTAAGCTAGAGTATTAACACTCAACGCTAGGCTGTTATTTGCTATTAAACATTATGATGATTGATTGAATGTGATTATGATGGATATTTTGATGAATATTCTGAACAAAATGATGATTATGAATTGTTGAACAAAGATTCAAAATAAATGGATTGATGAAAAATGAATTATATTGTTAAGGCTATCTAGAAGACCTCTAAGATAGATCTCAGATTAGAATGGGCCTTGCGGGTATAAATATGTATATTCGATGGCCTGGGGTAAAAACATACGTACGGCGTCCATAAAACATGTTGAAACACGGGTTTATCATGTTTTCATACTAAAGCCGTGTTTGTTTTTATGACAAGTTTTGATAATGTCAAACCGCTGTGAACGAGACAACTTGTTGAATATACAAGGCGAGAAATAAATATAAGAAAAAAGAAAGAGAACAAGAGCTAAAAAAGACCAAGAACGAAGACCGTAGTCCTTAGCGTCGTTGAGTCGGTCACAATGTGATCAAGACCGACCCAAGCTTTGCACTTTGGCTCTTTAGGCTAAAACATTTTTTATTGCATTTTACATATGATCAAAATTATTTTCAAACATGCTTAAACATATTAAAAAACACTTGGTGTTCGTCTAAACCAAAAACCAAGCCATTCAGGCTTCGGCTTTCGAAAACAGGCGTTCGGTTTTCAGAAACTAGCGTTCGGCATTCAGTTATCGGCGTTGGTTTTTGGCGTCTGAACCCACCAAGTGGTTTTCAACTTTTTATGATTGCTTTTACTTCTGGGCACATTTAAATAGTTTTCCATCAAAAACACTTCAAAAACCACCTTTCGTTTTTTGTCGTTTGATAAAAACCATGTGAAACGACATAAACTTGGCTAGCCGCAGCTTTTACTTAAATGTAGTGGTTTTCGAGTCTTTTTGTGTGGGAATTGATTTTGAATGCATTTAAATGGTTCTCCAATCAAAACATCATGAAAACCACCTTTCGGTTTTGTCTTTTGGTAAAAACCACCCGTGTACGGCGTTGACTTGGTCAACCATGGTTTTTACCTTAACAACGTGGTTTTCAACTTACAAAGCTTGTTTTGAAATCACAATACATTAAATAAGTGTTTTAAATACTTAATTTTTACTTTGGAGAACTTTGCATTTTTCAGTCGGGTTTCAGCGCCAGTGAGCTAGGCCATGGTTGTGGGTTAGCCGTCTACCCAGCGATGGTAGATATCACCCATCCATGGGTAAGTGATCCCGGGATTCCAGAATCATTCCACACAATGATTGGAGATATTACCCATCGATGGGTAAGCAGCCTTTAGCCCAACTGATTTCCAAAACCATGCCAAACAGCGATGGGAAGTTCTACCCATTGATGTTCAAGCCTTGGTCTAACATTATCACAAGACAGAATGCTCTTACCCAGCGATGGGAACCTTTACCCATCGATGGGAACCCAGCAATGGGACGGCATACCCATCACTGGTTACGCATGACCGTTGTGAGTCATTTAAGGCTAATTCTTTCCTTGTTTGAAAGTCAACCTCCCACCCAGCGATGAGAAGCATTTACCCATCGATGGGTAGGTGATCATTGGCTTCCAAACTGAAAGAAAATGGGCTTACCAGCGATGGGTAAGTCCATACATCGATGAGAAATCCAATATCCTGCAGATCCACATTTTAATCAATCTCATAAATCAAGCTAGTCACCCCTTTAATGCCTTGGTCCGTTGGATCCTATTTTGGCACTATAAAAAGGGGTGTTTGAGTCTGCTTTACACACCAATTCACTTCACAATATTCATATTATCATTGCATTTAAACATCATTTTCCATAGCTTTTTAGAGCCAATTCGTTTGAAGGTTGAGTTGTTCTTGAGCGTATATTTTACTCAACATCTACTCTTGTAGAGAGTCTTGTTCTTGTGTGTTTTTAGTGTTGTATACATGTTAAGGGAAGCTTTTTTCCCTTGGTTGTACGAAGGAAAGGTATTTTTCCTTCGGGTTGAAGTCTTGGAGTGCGGTAGCTCCGAGCAAGTGTTGTTGAGGCTC